GTCTACAAGCTCATCGGTGGTGCCACCAAGGACCGCATGGACTTCTACTGCACCGGCCCCAACCCGCCCGCCGCCAAGGCCATGGGCTTCTGGGGTGCCAAGGTCGCCCTGCCCTACTGCCCCGACGAGGGCCATATTGGCCTCAAGAAGAACGTCGAGTACCTGCGCGCCATGCCCGAGAGCGTCGGCCCCGACTTCCCCCTCATGGTCGACTGCTACATGTCGCTCAACGTGTCCTACATCATCGAGCTCGCCAAGGCCTGCGAGGACATCAACATCAACTGGTGGGAGGAGTGCCTGTCGCCCGATGACACGGACGGCTTTGAGCAGATCAAGCGCGCCCACCCCACCAAGAAGTTCACGACGGGCGAGCACGAGTACTCGCGCTACGGCTTCCGCAAGCTCGTCGAGGGCCGCAACCTCGACATCATCCAGCCCGATGTCATGTGGCTCGGTGGCCTGACCGAGCTGCTCAAGGTGTCGGCCATGGCTGCCGCCTACGACATTCCCGTTGTGCCCCACGCCAGCGGCCCTTACAGCTACCACTTTGTCCTGTCGCAGCCCAACACGCCCTTCCAGGAGTACCTCGCCAACTCGCCCGACGGCAAGAGCGTGCTGCCCGTCTTTGGCGACCTCTTCCTCGACGAGCCCATCCCCAACAAGGGTTTCCTCACGGCCGCCGACCTCGACAAGCCCGGCTTCGGCCTGACGCTCAACCCCGCCGCCCGCTCCAAGCTCATCTCCGCCGACAGGTGGCTCAACCCGGCGCCCGTCGCCGCCCTGACGCCTGCCGCACCCGAGGTCGAGGCCCCCAAGGCCGTCGAGGCTCCCAAGGAGGAGGCGGCGCCCGCCGCTGCCGTCGCCGCCCCCGCCGAGGAGGCCAAGACCAACGGAGTCAACGGCACCACCACCAACGGCGTCAACGGCGTCGTCCACGACATCACGGCCAAGGTGCAGGAGCTGACGACGGGCAGCGCCGAGCCCGTGGCGACGAACTAGACGAATGGAAGAAGAGTCGTGCATGCATGCGAGTGCGGTTTGTACAAATCGGGTACGGGCTTGGGAATGAAATGATGTAGACGAATACCAATTTTGGAGTAGAGAATGAATTTCAAGTTTAGCATCACGCAGCATTAATTTTGCCTCGATTGCGAGGACAAGGGGTGCACGTTGGAATAAACACGATGAACACGATATCAGGCTCATTGCCGTAGCGCGCTAGCCCTCACACCTGCATCTGCCGCTCACTCACTTACCGATGATCGATCATCGTGAGATAGATGCATGCTCGGATGTGTACTGACTGTACTGTAGAAAATGGTGTCATATCACTCCAAGCCCACCAATCACGCAAGATGGAACAGCTGCATCGATACGACGCTGTCCTCTGCGGACCCTGCAGGCCGAATGCCATTTGTCGGACGACGATTCCGAAACAACATTGCATTCGTGGCCCTCTGGTGTCATGATCGGTGATTGTGTGCCCGCTGTACAATTTTCGGGGCCCGCCATCCGCGCAAAGTTGCGTCTCGCTGCAATTGCGCCCGAAGCGCGGGGCGACGCGGGGCAGTCTAGGGGACCCCCATCCAGTGGATCCGCCCCCCCTTTGCGCTCGCTGCTGGCAAACCCCGTCAGGGAAGCCTGTCAAGGGGGCCCAGGGGAGTGGGTTCCACTGGACAGTGCCCTGGCGGGGACCCTCTTGGGCCTTTAAGGTCTGGGAGCCTCCAACCCGGGGACCGAGTTGCGTTTGCGTGGACGAGCAGCAGAGACGGAGAGAGGAAGAAGTGAGAAGAAGAGGGGGAAGCACATACAGACGAGCGGGCATGAAGAGAGGCGGACATGTGGAGGAGTGTCGCTACAAGGCACTGAAAGTAGGTAGGTACCTCAAGGTGCCCACGTAAGGGTTCCTGTAGGCAGTTTTTGCTCACGGGATTCACGGCGGCTGTCACGCCTCGGCGGACCCCTTCCTGTATTTGTGTGTTAAATAGGCTGTCCATACACACCATCTCGCTCCATCGTGATATTTTGCTCTCTTGTCATCGTATCCGCTCCATCTCCGTTTCCTCGTCCACCTCAGCTCTCACCAACTCTTGTTCTGGCCAGTTCATATTTTCTGCCGACTGATTGGTCTTATCGTCACACTGCTTCTCTATCACACTCAGCAGTCACGACCCCTCACTCGCTGCTGCCCCTGCTGTTTTGCCCCTCCTATTCTCACGACCCCTCGGTGACCCCTCCTCCAGACCGAGATTCCAGCTTCAGGCACCTGAAGCATCCCACACGCGCACACACACACACACACACAACCACCATGGCGCCTTCAAACCTTCTCGTCGGCAAGACTGCCATCATCTCGGGCGGCACAACGGGCATTGGCCGTGCCATTGCCCTCGAGTACCTCCGTCAGGGTGCCAACGTTGTCGTCAACCACCTCGGCCTCGAGAAGGACCAGCCTCACCTCGACTCGCTCATCGCCGAGGCCGCGTCGGCGCCAGGCCGCCTCGCACACCTGACAGGCGACATCCGCGAGCCGGCGACGGCGGCGGCGACGGTCGAGCTGGCCGTGCAGCACGCGGGCAACGGGCGCCTCGACATTTGCGTGTCCAACGCCGGCATCTGCACGTTTGCCGAGTTCCTCGACCTGACGCCCGACCTCTTCACGCGGACGGTGCGCACGAACCTCGACGGCGCCTTTTACTTTGTCCAGGCCGCGGCGCGCCAGATGGCCGCCCAGTCGCCGCCCGGCGGCAGCATCATCGGCGTCTCGTCCATCTCGGCCCTCGTCGGCGGCGGCCTGCAGACGCACTACACCCCCACCAAGGCCGGCGTGCTGTCCCTCATGCAGAGCACCGCCGTCGCCCTCGGCAAGCACGGCATCCGTTGCAACGCCCTGCTGCCCGGCACCATCAAGACCCAGCTCAACGAGGACGACCTCAACGACGACGCCAAGCGCACCTACATGGAGGGCCGCATCCCCCTCGGCCGCACCGGCGTGCCTCATGACCTGGCCGGCCCCGCCGTCTTCCTCGCCTGCGATGAGCTGAGCGGCTACGTCACCGGTGCGCAGCTGCTCGTGGACGGCGGCCTGTTTGTGAACCTGCAGTGAAGGGGGGCGGGCATGTAGCAGGCGATGAAGGACTGGAGAGATCTGTATACGGGCTGGCGTGGTGTGCTCTGCGGCCTGAGGGCGGTGAGAGAACACAAATGGGATGTGTGCAGGACGATCGTGGCTGCACGTGTCGCTCAGAAGACATGCTAGGTGCCACCGCACAAAGCGGGCATCAAGGCGTGGGGTGGACGATGGCTCCCCCGGATTTGCGTATATATGACACGACCTTGATCACGGCCATCCACTCGAAGGGTCCTGGTCCAAATGAGACATGAGCTTTGTGGGCTCCCTTTCGATCGATATGTCTGTTGGAATGTGTTGTTTCTGGTGTGTTCGTCTGCATTGTGTTCCGCAATACCGGACCTGGATGGGTCATTTCACGGTTTTGGTTTGTCAGCGGCTGCTTCTTTCGCCAGGCACAAAACATGCGACTATTGCTCCACCAGTATGGCGGTAGTGCTCTCGTCGAGATGAAGGTCTCTGACTAAACCTTGATCGATATGCTGGGATACAACCGTTTGCCGAAAGGATCCCAACTGAAGCGAAGTTCTCATGCGGCTTATTGAATCTGTGTGTAACTCGTCCATAGGGTACACAGACCCGCTCCGTGCCGTTACTTGCGCTCTTTGAGATGGATGTTTCTTGGCTGCCTCGTTCTCAGGGAGTATATCGGTCAGTATGCTAGCCACATGGCCTGGCAGTCTCGTCTTAACGACGCTTTGCCTGGAGGTTATAAGCGTGGGAAGTCAGTCGCAACAGAACACTACGACCTTTTTGACATCGTGAGACCAACCCTTTTGAACGGTCCATTCAGAAATCAACAACGCGTGGCCACTGGACCACATTGACCACAGTGACCTCAAGCCGTGGACGTGACATGTCAGTGATGCATGGCGATGAACAGAGCGAGCATGGTTAGATAGACGACAGAAATATCATTGAACAGGACAAAGAGTCCGGCACTGACCGGCCAGAAGACTCACCACGTCAGATCAACATACTCAAGAAGCCGCGATGGCACTGGCTACGGGCAGCCACATGCCCTGACGATGTAGAGAACTGTCTATTTTGCCGTGTATACATGACGGAAAGGGTCGTGAGCTCCCACATGCGGCAATCAGCTTTTGCAACAGAGCGCAACTACCATGCTATGCCATGCTACAAGAAAAAGACTCGCAAGGAAGAAACAGATTCTGTTGAAACAATACAAAACTGATCTTAGACACATCACTCCGCGCGATGTGACATCTCCTACCGCAGAATATCAACTGTCTACCATATCATGAACCTAGTTATCTACCTAGATACAGCAACGGCCACGTCACGTGGAATCTCTGTGCTCATGCTCATGTGCGTAGTCAGCAAAAAGTCGCTCCCAATAAATTTGCCAAGATTCTGCGTGATTGAGAGATCATGAGAGAAAAGGCAAAAAGTGAAGTTTCGAAGGCGATTTGAACGCCTGACCTATCGGACTGCAGCCGATTGCTCTACCCCTGAGCTATCGAAACTTGCTACTGCGCTTGTTGAAGGAAAGGCTGTTGTGCGCGCATATGATCCCTGAAACAAGAGCATCATGTACCAATCAGGATGGGCCTACGGTATCCACATTCTAGAAGCCGGCTTGCTAAGGTAAGCCACGTTGGACAAGTATACAGCGCCCATCCCATTCATTGTACAGCTCCTCCATCACCCATGGACCAGGTGTTGATAGCAGATGAATGATTCGGTCTTGAACGTCAGATGCGACATTCCATCCACCCCATCGACGTACAACTCTTCAATTGTGGGGGGCCTGGCTGCGCCTAAACTAAGGCCTCACCGCATCCAAAACTTTCAAACTCAGTGAGGCCCAACTCGTAGATGTGTCCATGATCGATGCGAGACGAATGCGTCAAGAGGCCACAGTATCTCCATGTGGACTCGGCGATGCCGCCCGTGCGACAAGTCA